ACAGTTAGAACTAGATATGGAACAACTGATTGGTTCAAAATTGGAAAAGGAATACAGCAAGGCTATATATTGTCACCCTGCCTATTTAACTTATATACAGAGTACATTATGCAAAAGGCCAGGCTATTTGAAGCACAAGCCGGAGTTAAGATTGCCAGGAGAAATATCAACAACCTCAGATATGCAGACGATACCACTCTAATGGCAGAAAGTGAAGAGGAACTAAAGAGCCTCTCAATGCGGATGAAGGAGGAGAGGGCAAATGTTGGCTTGAAACTCAGCATTAAGAAAACTAAGATCATGGCATCCAGTCCTATCACTTCCTGGCAAATAGATGGGGAAGAAATGGAGGTAGGGACAGATTTTATTTTCTTGGGCTCCAAGATCACAGCGGACGGTGACTGCAGCCAAGAAATTAAAAGACGCTTGCTCCTTGAAAGGAAAACTATGGCCAATCTGAACAGCAACTAACAAGCAGAGACATCACCCTGCCAACAAAAGTTTGTATAGTCAAATCCATGGTTTTCCCAGTTGTAATGTATGGCTGTGAGAGTTGGACCATACGGAAGGCTGAGAGCTGAAGAACTGATGCTTTTGAATTGTGGTGTTGGAGAAGACCCCCGAGAGTCCCTTGGCCTGCAAAAAAATCAAATCAGTCAATCCTAAAGGAAATTAACACTGACTGTTCTTTAGAAGGACAGATCCTGAAGCTGAAGCTCAAATGCTTTGACCACCTAATGAGAAAGAAGGACTTATAGGAAAAGATCCTGATGCTGGGAAAAATTGAAGGCCAAGGGAGAATGGGATGACAGAGGTTGAGGTGGCTGTATGGGGTCACTGGGGAGGTGGGTGTGGAGTTGGTTGGACCTTGAGGGATGGTGGAAGACAGGAGAAACTGGTGGAATGTTGTCCATATGAACTTTAAATTCCTCAGGGATGTTATTTAAGTTTTATTTTGACACTATGCTTCTGTTAGTGAACCTTTTTAGCTTGACTCTTTTTTCTGCTGTTAAGACAGCATGGTCACTACTGCACTCTGCTCCTGGTCTTGTTTTGGCAGCAAGAATATAGATTCTCCATCTTATGCTTCCAATCACATAGTATATTAGTTTCTGGCCATCTGGTGATATCCACATATACAGTCATCTGGTTTTTAGTTATTTATTACATTTCAAATCCCCCAATAGCCAACTGCTTGTAGTGTGTATTTGTGATAAATAGGCTGTTGGCTTCACTTAATTTCATGAGTCATTTTTCTTCTATGTTTCTTACTGCTATGCCATATTTTTCTACATTTGATTCTGATTTGTATCCTACTTTTGCATTCCAATCACCTAGGATTATCAATATGTCTTTTTTGGTGTGTTATCAATACCTTGAATACCTACATAAAAGTTTCCTATTCTTCAGCCTCTGTCGTTGGAACATAGACTTAAATGAGTTCTGACTGATATTTTCAGTCAGATTTTGTATTATAGCCTCTTACTGCCTGTGCTACATCTTTCCTTAGTATTAGAACTACTCCATTTCTTCTGAGTTTGACATTTCCAGTGTAAAAAGTTTGTCTTTTTCTTATTGAAAATGTCCCATTCCAGTCCAATTTAGTCTGCTCACACCAAGTATTTCAATGCGGTTTCATTTCCTGCTTTATGGTTCCCAGTTTGTCTTGATTCATAACCTCTTATGTTCCATATGCCAATGGTATGTGCTGTGCAGCATCAGACTTTTTTTTTCAGCTCTGTGCACTTCAACCACTAGACTTCCTTTTGGTTGTGATCTAGTTCTCTCATTAATATTTATATTTGTCCTTTGCTCTTCCCCAGTAGCTTGTAGAATGTCTTCCAAGCTGGGGAGTGGGGGCAGTTATCTAATCTTCTAGTAGTATCACTAGTTTTATTATTCCATTAGTTATCCAATTAGTCCAATCTTTTTCAACAAGAGAAGACAGAGAATAGGACCCATTTAATTTCCCTGGCCACTGACAGCTTTCTAACTTGTAGTTTCACCTCAGCAGAATAGGAGGCTGCCATAGGACTGTATAGACTTAACATAAATCCACTGAAATAAATGGGACCTAATTAGACATGACCAACTCAACTCCTACCCATGTCAGTTGGATCTATTGGTTGCCCTGTTGGATTAACTTTGCCAAGAGAGGGATGAGGGAGTGTGGTCCTGTTGATTCTCCTAGACCTCTCAGTGCCTTTTGATACCACCAAGCATTCTTGATAAGGTTGTCTGGTTTGGAAGTTGGAGGCACTACAATGCAGTGGTTCTGCTTCTACTTTGACAGCCCATTCCAGAAGGTGGTACTGGGGGATTATTGCTATGTGCTTTGACAGTTATGCTAAGGGCTTTCCCAGGGCTCTGTTTATTGCCTATGATGTTAACATCAACATGAAACTGCAGGGGGATGTTATCTGGCAGTGTGGACTGAGAATATCAATATATAAATGATACCCAACTCTATCTCTCCTTTTCATCAAATTCAGGTGAAACAAAGGCTGCTGTGTATCAGTGTCTGGGTATGGTAATGGAATAGATGGGGCAAATAAATTGAGCCTCTTAACAGAAAGTCACCTAAGGGTCTCTTGGCGGAGGAAGAGTTAATACTTCGCCCAGATATCCAGCTGCCTCCAGGTGCCAGTTCAAGGAAAGCAAGGCACCAAGACCACTGGAGGGCCAGATAGGGCTGGAATTGCAAAAGTCACCAGAGGACAGGAGAATTTGCACTCCCCAGATTTGGGGGCCATAGGGCACACAATTCTTACCTGGAATATGTCAGGTGATGTCACCCCATGAATCATGTGATTGATCAAGCAGGAATAAAAGCTGAGGTTCCCTGTTGCTGCCAGAGGCTTTGCTGAAGGACAGTGTGCTATTCTACTGGAGAGAAGGCTACATTGGGTATCATACATTGTATTAGCATTAGGAACAGCTAGCTTTGTTATTTTGTGTCCATGTTGGCCAGTTGGCCTCGGGTCTCAGGGAAGCCTGAGGGGTCTCAGTGGATTGTTTGTAATTCCTGTTTGTGCTGCTCTCCAATTCCCCTTTCCCTTTCCCTCTCCTACTCTGTGCATGTCTGAGCCTGGTGTGCTGAAGTGTTTTAGACCCTCCACCCCCGCATTGTGAACTTTTTTAAACAAGCCGATTTCCCACAATGCTTGGATTGTTTTGCACTGAATTCAGTGTCTGGCACTGGGATTTGGGGTTCAGGGAACTCTGAACAGAGGTTTCTGCTCACAGGGAGGAGAGGACTCTGGGGCAGCTGATTATTATAAGCCTAAATCCAGACAAGGCAGAAATACTATTAGTGAATGGTTCACCTGCCTGGATGAGTGATATTCAACCTGTTTTGCAGGGGGACAGACTCATCCTAAAGGATCAGATTTGTGGTTTCGGGGTGTTCCTGAATCCAGTCCTGTCATTAGAGGTACAGGTGGACTCAGTGCATGGAGCACTTTCTGCCAGCTCAAACTGACATAACAACTACATTCTTATATAGACAGGGAAAGCTGAGCTATTTATGCTCTAGTGTCCTCTTGACTAGATTACCACAATGTGTTATATGTGGGGCTCCATTTGAAAATAGTCCAGAAACTTTACCTGGTCCAAAGCAGAGGAGCTCGTTTGGTAACGGGGACTGATCAGAGTGACCATATCAGGCTAGTACTTTACCATCTACACTTGCTGTCAGTCTGTGTACAGATTTATTTCAAAACCCTACCTGGTTGGGGGCCAGGTTACTTGAAGGCTTGTCTCCTCACATATATACCTGTCTGGACCCTGGTATCCTCAGCGGTCCTTCTGCAAATGGAAGTCAGAGGCTACTAGGAGAGCCTTTTCTGTTGAGGCACTATGAAATGATTTTCCTAGAGAGATTTGCAAGGTACCTACCTTATACTTTTTCTGGTGTCAGGTGAAGACTTTATTTTCCCAGGAATTTTAGTTTAGTCTGTTTTAAAACTTGTATAGTATTTTAAATCTTTGGATTGCTGCAAAGTCTTACTCTAGTCTTTATTTTAAACGGTAGTTTTAACCATTTAAATGTCTCTGTACCACATTTTGTTTTTCAATTGTTTTAAATTGCTGTGAGTGGCTCCAGCAGCTTTGGCTATTGGTCAGTTTTAAATAAAGAGATAAATAACGGATCTAACATTTGAGGACCCATAGACCTCCAATTCTAACTCTGGAAAAAAGGCTTGTATACTTTCTGCAAAGGTGCTGCTATGGCAGTAACACCCGGCTCTGTAGCAGGGCGGCCACAGGACGAAAATACCTCAGATGCAGCCAACAGGCAGGTGGCACTGAAATAAGTTGGACACTAGCAAATAGGATCTTCAGGGAAACAAGGTTTGCTTGTTCTCTCTTGCAAACAAAAAAGCGGAATGTGTCTCCTACACCGCTGTGCCCAGAAGAGGGGAAGTGTTAAAATCACTCTTTTCTTTCCTTCGGAAGAGAAAAATATTCCAAGCATGCAGAGTTCTTTTTAAAACTTTATTGCAACAAATGAATGAAAAATGGTTTCCTTCCCATTTTCCAGCTCACCTGAGCACATGTTCACATCCCATTTTATGCCCTGCCCCCAGCCACTTCTCCCTCCTCCTTTCCTCTCATTGGCTAGGGTACCGAGAGTTTACAATCTTACTCCGCCTACTCCATGCTGCTCCAATACTGGTCCTTCTTCCCAATCCAACCCTGCCCCCAGTGAGCTACAATAGGCTCATTTGTTCTGCCAAGCTTGTCAATAAACAATCAGGAAGTCATTGAGTCAGTATTTGGCCATCCTGCCTACATGCCTGTTTTCTCACACCCTGTGCTATCTGATCTTAGCCCCCCCTCCCCTTTTGGGCTAAGTAATTTTCTTTGTTACCTTTTAAATCTTTCTACTCCCTTGTTTCAAATCATCCCTTCTGAGTAAGAGATGCCCATCTCTGCCTTCCGCCACCACGTGTGTCTGCAGCAGTTCCTACTTCTGCGCGTGCAGCCTCTGTTGTGTTGTGCACGTAGAGGTCGTTGCTCCTGGTTACTGCCCGGGCTTTTGCTTTCTTCTCACAGCAGCGACAAAGCTCGAGCTACGTTGATTCTGCTTCAGCCTCCTGCAAAAGGAAGTCTTCTGAGGAGTGAGTATTGGATCTCATTGCGGGCCTTTGCATTCAGGACGGACTGGTGAGTGGTGTGCGGCTGCTACAGGTGTAATCTTGGCATCTTCGCATCTTTGTAAAGGGCGGATATCGCCTTAAGGAAGTTTTTGAAGTGCTTTATCCAGGATGGGTTCTGAGGTTGGTAGCTCGATGATGGCGTGCTGTTCGTGATGCCAACGCCCTTATTATTTTAGTGAACCTAATCCTCCCATTGCTTCACCGGGGGTGGCGGGGCGGACGGAGATAGAGTGGACACCCCATGTAGTTGAATTTAGCACGGACACAAACTTACTTGCAGTAAGAAAGAGCATCCGCTTCTCTGTATCTCGCTGTCCCTGTTTCTGGGCGGGGGTGGGTGGAGGGGGACGTAGGTGCTGAAATGATCTGATGCTCGGGCCTAAAGGACAAAAGAAAAAAAGAACAGTCTCCTCCTGTGTGTATGGGTGGGAGTGTTCATCACTCATTAATGGCTTGTTTCCCTATGTGTAAATGGAATACATATAAAGGGGAGTGAAAGGCTGTTGACTAGAAGGAAGAAACCTTAATCAGGAAGATGGAAAGGGGCTCATTATAATAATCAGAGATAATCAGACCCCCTTTACCTTTATTTTAGCAAGTGCCTATGGACAGCAGGGTGCTAAGGGCCTGCACTGCTTCTAGTGAATTGTACAGAACTTAGGTTTGTTGGACACAGAGGAACTAATCCTCCTTGGCCAAGGAGATGGGGTCAAATAAGTGAAGGAGATAAGTATAAAGATCAGGGTCCAATGCTCAGAAGCATTCTGAGAGAGATGGCAAGCAAGCATCAGAGGTAGTGGCTGTTCCTTCTCACCCGTCAATGCGCTTGTCCCCTCTTGCTTTGCAGTAGCTTGGTACCAGCCTTGTAATTCATGCAGAAGACTTCTCTTTGGTGTGGGAAAAGCAGCATTGGGCTCTAACAGTTTCTATCTTGCTTCCCGCATACTTTTTCTATTTGCTTGATAGTACTTGATGAGGTCATATGGGAATTTGAAGCTCTGTCTCATCGTGATGCAGTTCTGATTCTTCTTTCCTTCAGTATCAGATGTGGTAGAGATCTCCATGAATATCAGCCTGAGATCAAAAATGCAGTGCAGTAAAGGTGAACTTGCTGATAGAGGGTTGAGCCATCCATTGATCTGGATCTGGGGAATATGCCCGTGCTGGGTGGGGACACACTTTGCCCCAATTTGCAGTTTGGGGAGTGCGCCTGGACATGGTAGTGTTACAGTGTCTCCAAGTGATGACTGAAGCTGTGAGTCTGCCCCCTCCCCTACATTGGCTGGTCCAATTTCTTGACCTGGTATCTGATTTATGCTTTGTGTAGGACTTCTATTAAAGACAGCCAGAAATATCATTTAATGTTGAACATGGCTTTTTCTGGAGTTTGTCTTGCATTGTGCTCATTTTTAAAAATTAATGTTACTGGTTGTCAGTTTGTTTCATGTTAAACCATTGTGCTGGTTTTGACCTAGGTAGCCTTGCATGACTTGAGGCTGGAATATGAAGAAACATATGCTTCCAGTGACATTTTTGTCAATGTGAGGATTGTCTTCTATTAAATACACTTTTTTGGTAATGAGAACTTGCATTTTGGTACTCCCTTCCATGGTTCATATTATTATAGTTTGATAAAAGCCAACATATGGTGACTCATAATTAGTATTTTTATTATCGTTTTACTTTATTTTTATTTAATTTGTTCTAAACTTATTTGAGGGCATTTCTTGAAAAGATAACATATGCATTTAAAAAGGAATGTTAATATTTTATTTATTTATTTAACAAAGGATTTCCAAATCAGCTGCTGCAAAGCAACAGTGTACTTGAACTACTCACAGAATCATTCATAAAGAGTGAAAAGAGAGTGGCAAAACTGAGATGCAACCAAGACTCTGTTTAGTTACAGTTTTCCCTATATTCACTACCTGCTGCTTTACTGTCTTCATAGTAAGTATGAAGTATACATTTCTGTTTTACTGTCTGCTGATATTTTGCATGCTGTTATGTACTGTTGTTGTCTGTTTATTATATAGAACTGTTCTAAAAGTATGGAAGATATAACTATCAAATAAATAATTGCCTGCTAGTATCGAAGTAATAATTGACTTCAAGATGGTCAGGAGACTTCTTAAATATGAAAAAAATGAGGTTGAATTCAGTTTTGGCCATATTTAGAGGAGACCAACTGAAATCAGTGGACTTAAATTAGTCATTATTAACTTACCCTGTTTCTTTCACTGGGCCTTTTTTAAGTGTAAGTCTGGATCATCCCATTGAATTTAACAGTGTAAGGAACTTGGAATGTGCAGTGTTCCACCTCATTTTCTGTACACACTTGTAAATGTATTTTTACTTCTGTTTAATTCTGATATACTGATACTGAAGCTACAGTTAAACTGCAAATTACTGTTCTGTTTAAGAGATTCAGTAACAGAATAAATGCCCATTCTGAATACCTTCCCACCTTTGGCCTGTACTATACAGCTTCCTGTCTCCAAAGAATCAGATATCCATTTTTCTGGTTAAAGTGGAAGCAGCCAGTGGCTGTGAAATAGGTGACATGACTTGAAGCCACCAATGAAGGCAGGTAGGATTGCCAGCAGCCAGGGATCTTTTCTGCTCATTTTGTGTGTTTTCTCTTGGATTTGGTATTGGATATTTAGTGGAATATGGGGCGCAGAGTGCATTCTCTCGCTGTCCATTATATTTTTATTGTTGCTGATTTTATATTGTATAAGCTGTCTTGAGATGTTTAGTGAAAGACAGGATTAAAATGTTTTATTAAATTAAATTAAATTTCCTGACTACCAAAACTTTCTAAGCATATTCCTAGTTGTGTTCGCTGATGCAGAATATTAAATATTATTATTAAAATGATTCCTGCATGAACATTTTCTGAGGCACAAAAGTAGCAAGAAATTAATTTAAGAGTACTTTCCTGGGAGGGAATAGCTAACTGGAAATATGATTTTATACCTGATACGATTTTATCATATATGACTCTTTTCATCCTAAATTTTGCATGAATACATAAGAAACAAATAGAAAGGAGAAAAATTGTTTTTATCCTGTTTTTACATATATTAACATTAATAAATCTGACCCCCCCAAACATTGTCTTCACATAAAAATTTATTCTTCAGAAATGACATTGTGTGAATAGAAAGACAGAGAATAATATTCTGTTTAGAATGTCACATCTTTCTTCATTCTTAAAGCCAAGCTGAAATACTACATTAGAAAGAGCAAATCAAACAGGTTTCATACTCCCAAAGCAATGTATTCTTCCAAAGTGTTATTGTACATGCTGACCTTCCTTTGTGTCTTTACTAGGGCTCTGAGACCCATCCATCTGAATTCAAATGGACAAATATGAGATACTTGGGCTAGTGAGAGAAGGAAGCTATGTAATGGTGATGAAGTGCAGGAACAAGGAGGATGGTAAAATATTTGCTATCAAGAAATTTTTCGCAAATATGTGAGGATGACAGAATGGTTTAAAAAATTGCCATGAGACAAATCAAGCTTCTCAAGGTGAGCTAAGAGATAGTAACCCAGATTAGTGCTGTTACATGTTTTTTTCCCTGCTCTAAGGCAGTTTCCATGAAATGGTTGTCAGTTATGTAAGAAACCAAGGTAATGTCATTAACAGTAAGGGCATAAATGGTTATGAAATTTTATCAGGGGTTATTTCTAAATGCGTCTCTCCTCTCTGCTTATTTCTTCCTCTCATTGAACAGGAAGTTACTAGAGCCTTTTTCTAATTGTCAGTTGCTTAAAATGTGATCAGGGTTGAAGGTGGGCAGGGGAAGACAGGCACAAAGTAGCTTGGCAAAACATTTCATCTGCATTGACTGTGCTGCCTAGTCCTGATTAATACATGCAGACTACTGTGAGGGTGCTTGTTGGTTGCTGTAACCTGATATGGTAGGCTGTTTGTGATATGGCTTCCCACATGGTTTGGATAATTATAGTTATGCTGTCAGGTGCCAGTGATATGAATTGTGCTGTGGCTTCCTACAAATACATGAACTCATTTTATGGCTGAATGGTTTGGGGCAGGCAGTAGGGTCATATGTTCGCTTCTCCCTGCACTTCAACTTCCCAGACTAAAATTCCCACCTGCCTTGCTTCATCAGCAGTTAATATTACCCAGGCTTTGAAGTTGGTTAGCACACAGGTTAATATTTGGGTCATGTTAACTTCATCTTAAAGGTGATATGATGCATAAATGTGCTGAGAGCTCAGCAGGTGACTTATGGGAAAGGGAGTGGTGTGAGCTGAGTACTCCCTCCTAGCAGTGCTTTTTGCAAAATGTCTTTATTTTACATATAAGTCTCTGAGCATACACATAGTGAAATGTTGAACCTTCTCTGGCCCCCTTCACCCAAATGAATCCCTATGTGCCCATTTTGGGGAGGAAGGAGTGCTGGGCACACTTGTGTTACTCCTTCTGAGATCTTTGGGGCCACCTCCTCAGGAGGCCTGAGTTGTCCTTCTGATAGACTCCTCATCTCTAAATCCTCCCCCTCAGGATGTTGATGCTCTTCTTTTTTCCCATGGACAGGTTGACTAGGCCCCTTGGCTACCCTTGAACTAATCTCTTCCTTAGCAGGCACAGGTGGGTATCCACGGCCTTGGGTCACAGCTGGAGCTGTGTCCATTTCAACAACCATCAGATTCTGACCTGTCAGTCCTGCCAGGATCTGTCAACTCCCCTTCATTCAGCTCATTCTCAGAGTCTGAGCTGTCAGTCCTGCCAAAATGATAAACTTCTTGGGAATCTTGCCAGAATGCGTGTGCAGGACATGGAATGTCCTGAAATAGCATCTGCTTTTGTTCATATGGCAAATTACCTGAATCATTTAGATTGCCTTCTGTTCTCCCCTTGGCTTAAGCCACTTTGCCATGTTTTTCTTTTTCAAAAAGAAAAAGAACAACCAACTGAAAAGATTTGGAAAACAAAGGTGAGGGTAAACAAGGAAAGAATGTACACAAATAAAGGTAATATAGCTTAGGTTTTAATGTGGTAGGCAATAACCTAAAAGCTATATGGAAAAGCTTTGCTCATAGGTTTTTTGATGGGCTCCAAGGAGGCATTGACTAGTGCTCAGAGGATTGCTTTCTACAGGCATCAGATTCAAAATAACCCTTCATTTTAGCCTGTTCTGTTGATTAAGTTTGGCTGATTAGTCTGTGGAAGAAAGGTTGGAACTGTTGTTCATGAGCACAGGGAAAAGTTGCCAGAATGTGCATTACCAATTTATAACTTTGATGGGAATTCAGGTTCAGACAGTGAAGATGAAGGGGTTGTGGAATATCAGCAAGCTCCAGTATGCAATCAAGGTCAGGGAGCATCTGGGGAGGAGGAAGGGTAATTGCTAGTCCAGATGGGTAGTGGTGATGGTTAGCCAGTCTCTGGAAACAAGGAGATAGCACAGCAGGATGTGGAGTTGACAGTAGAAGCTGATGAGAGCCCTGCTCTACCAATGAGAGAACAGGAGGAACTGGGCAGGCTTCACTGCAGGAGTTGAGCAGTCTGGCTGCCCCCTGAGCAGGTGATGCTGATTGCTAGGAGACAACACAGGCAGGAGATTCAGTTGACAGAGGAGCACTATCAGCTGAGGTTTCACAGTGACCTGCCTGCAGGGCAGTGCAAGACAAAAAGGGCAGAAGGGGATCGGCGACTGAGAAGTGTTATGGAGGGCTGAACACTTCACTCTGGGTAAACTGAGAGATGTGCAGCAATAGAGATGCCTCCTTGGAGCCTCATGAAAAGAAACTCTGGAGCAATGTGTTTACTTGGTAGGAAAACCATACAGTATGACAAGAACTCTAGTTCAGCGGCATGCACAATGTGAAGGTAGTGTTAGGGATTGTTGGGATAATGTGCATGTTAGTATTTACATAGGGTTTTTCTTATATCTAAGCTGCAACCTTAAACATACCTACCCAATTGGTTATACCCATTGAACACCATGGGACACACTTCCTAGTATGTAACTTCCTAGCACATAACATCAGAGTGTGAATATTACTATAATTATCATTTGTTTATGCATTCAAGGGGCTATTCGAATGTTTTTAAAATCTGTGTATGGTTGAAAGCTGTTTCAGTGTTGTTGACACATTTACTGTTTCCTAATAGCAATTAAGGCACGAGAGCCTGGTGAACCTTATACAAGTCTGCAGGAAGAAAAAACAATGGGATCTAGTATTTGAATTCATTGACCACACAGTCCTTGAGGATCTTGAGATGATTCCAAATGTCCTGGATTATAAAAGAGTTCAAAAATACTTATTTCAGATTATAAATGGATTAGGATTCTGTCATAGTCATAATGTAAGTAAGGTTCTTTATCTGCCTAATTATTTGTATTGGCATAATTCTTGATGTATTTATTCATTTTAGCAGCTGAACTTGTGGTTTCAAATAGATGCCCAACTTGTAAGAGATGGATATGAATGAGGTAACTGCTTGCATAATCATTGCAACAAGAATGTTTTTATTATTCGCTAAATATTGTGACTGCTATGTGCTTGAGGGTATTTTTTTATTATTCATATTTCCATGCTAACTCTTTTGGTGAAAGATAATAAAGGTGGTGCATAACACTTCAGAAAGATAATATTAAAACAATAGAAAAAGCATGAAAACAGTAAGATATTTGCTTTTAAATTTCTACAGATTACTAGATGCAGGGGTAAGTGTTTGCACTGCAATCATGGGATCTAGAAACATAGATAAACATAGAAACAGAGTGAGTCAGAAGGGGCCTCCCGGGCCATCTAATCTGACACCCAGCTCCAGGCAACTCTGCTCAGAACATGCCCACCATGTGCATGTCCAGCCTATCTTTGAACACCCTCACCGATGGGGCCTCAACGACCTCTCGTGGAAGCCCATTCCACACCCTTGGGGTCCTAACTGTCAGGATGTGCTTCCTGGCATCTGAATGGAACCTTGGCTCCCTGAGCTTTGCTCCGTTGGAGCATGTCCTGCCTTCCTCTGCAGGGGAAAACAGGTCCCTACCCATCTCTGTGTGACATCCATGTGAAATTAATGATCTTGATGTATAACCAACTCCAAAGTTCTTGTGCTTTTACCCATCTTTGGGTTCAAAGAAAAGTTGTTTGCCCTCTTAATTTAATCTGTGATATGACTTTGCTGCCTGCTGGGCGCACGCATCCAGCATGTGAAGGACAGAGTGGAGCGTCTTGTTCGCTCCAGGGTTCACCAGCTGCTCCTGGTGATCCATGTGGGCACAAATGACGTGGCCAGGCAGGGTGTGCTCGGGATCACCAGGGACTTCAAGGCCTTGGGAAAGAAACTCAGGGAGCTAAAGGCCCAAGTGGCCTTCTCGTCAATCTTACCAGTCCGGGCATTTGGGCCAGGAAGGGACAGGAGGGTCTCCGAGGTGAACAACTGGCTTAGGGTGTGGTGCCAGAAGGAACGCTTCGGGTTCCTCGACCACGGCACTCGGTTTCTTGCCAATGAACTTCTGGCAAGGGACGGGTTACACCTCACGAGGATGGGGAAAAGGTCCTTTGGAGATGCTTTAGCGAGCTTCGTCCGGAAGACTTTAAACTGAGCCGGGCGGGGTTGGGGGTTCAGGCCCCACAGAAACGTGTCTGCACTGGACAAGTGTGGGGAGAGGATCAGGGCTCTGGGAGCAGGGTTTTAGAGGTGGAGCAGGGACGGACAGGACTCCTACAGAGAGGGGCCAGGTATCAGGGAGGATGGGAGGAAGGAGGAGGCTGGGAACTCCAAGGAAAGGAAGTGGTGGGATGGAGCTGAGGTGCAGGTACACCAATGCTAGGAGCATGGGTAATAAGCAGGAAGAGCTTGAAGCTCTCCTGGGAATAGGAGGGTATGACCTGGTGGGAATCACAGAAACTTGGTGGGATGAAAGGCAAGACTGGAATGTGAACATAGAAGGGTATCATCTTTTCAGAAAGAACAGGAAGGGAAAGAGGGGTGGGGGCATGGCTTAAACATCAGGGAAGGGATAGGATGTAGTGAGATAGAAAGCAGCGCAGATGGGGATTCGGTAGAGGCAGTCTGGGTGAAACTTCAGGGTTTTGATAGGGAAAGAGACCTGACAGTGGGGGTATGTTATTGCCCTCCAGGTCAACTTGAGACCCTGGATGATGTCCTGACAGACCAGATATCTCAGGGGAGAGACACAGTAATTATGGGAGATTTCAGTCTCCCTGATATTAGTTGGGAGACTCACTCAGCAGTGACAGCCAGGTCAGGTCGCTTCCTAGAGGCTATAGAGGGAGGGATTTTCACACAGAGGTTCCGAGAGGCAATGAGGGGGGAAAACATCCTTGGCTTGGTCTTGACCAATAGGGAGGAGCTGATAGATGAAGTACAGATTAGGGGAGCTCTGGATGCGAGTGATCACTCCATCCTTTGCTTTTTGATCAGGGGACTGGGGATGTGCAGCAGAAGCTGGGACTTCAGGAGGGCCAACTGAAGGCCAACTGAAGGCCAGACTGGGGAAAGTCTCCTGGGATAGGTTACTGGAACGTAAGCGAGTTGAGGAGTGGATGGCACTCAAAAGGGAGGTTTAGGAGGCGCAAGCCTTGACGATATCTCTAGTTAGTAAGGTGGGGAGGCGGAGGAGAGTGCTGCCATGGATGCAAAAGGAGGTGGTTAGAGGGATTAGACGAAAGAGGAACCTCTGTAGGAAATGGGTACTGGGGTATACCGGGAGGAGGAGGCCCGTTGCAGAAGGATTCTTCGCTGATTACGAGCTGAGACTTGCCAAGAATATCAAGAGCAAGTAAAAGGGCTTCCTTCAGCATGTAAATAGGAAGAGGAAGGGGAGAAAAGAGGTGGGACCACTAAATAAGGAGGAAGGAGATCCAGTGACTGATATGAGGGAACAGGCACAGATGCTAAATGCCTCTGTGTTCTCCGCAAAGCAGGATGGGGGATATCCGCATAGGAGATTAGATGAGGCTGGGGACTTAGGGGCACAGATTAGAGTCACCCCCCTTGAAGTCGAGGGGCTCCTCAGAGCATTGGACATTACAAAGGCGCCAGGCCCTGACGGGTTACACTCGAGAGTACTTAGGGAATTGGCAGGGGTTCTCTCATGCACACTGGCCTCCATTTTTGAGGCCTTGTGGAGAACGGGTGAACTTCCAGAGGACTGGAGGGTGGCATCAGTGGTCCCAATTTTCAAAAAGGGTAGTAGAAGGGACATGGGGAATTACAGACCAGTTAACCGTATGTCCATTGCAGGAAAAACAATGGAAAGGCTCATAATCGAGAGAGATCTAGTGATGCTAGATGGGGAAGGGAGGCTGACAGCCACACAACACGGCTTCCGCAAAAACAGGTCCTGCCAGACAAACCTTGTGGAATTCTATGACAAGGTTTTGAGATAGCTAGATGGAGGGGATGCAGTGGATGTGGTTTACCTGGATTTCAGCAAGGCCTTTGACAAAGTGCCCCATGATATCCTGGTGGAGAAACTCCTCAGTTTCTCC